TGTCTCGGGTCATTGGCCAAGGAGCACGACGCAGGCGGGCTGGCCGTGCAGGCGTGTCTCGGGTCATGGGGCCGAGGAGCACGACGCAGGCGGGCTGACCGCGCAGGTGTGTCTCGGGTCATGGGCCGAGGAGCCGAGGAGCACGACGCAGGCGGGCTGGCTGCACAAGTGTGTCTCGGGTCATTGGCCGAGGAGTCGAGGAGCACGACGCAGGCGGGCAGGCCGTCCTGAGGCAGAACTCGGGTAGTCTACGGCCAAGGGACACGGCTCAGGCGGGCAGTCACCCGACATTCCGGGCCCTCCTTCTAGCGCCAATCTATTGTGGGAAACAACTTTGAGCCGTGGCCTCGGGGCCGACGCGGCTCCGTTCAGGTCCGGACGACGGGGATCTCCCTGGGGCGCTCCTCGGGCCCGCTAAGGCGGTCGTGTGCGGTGTCCGATCGGGACGGTGTAGCCGTCTCCTCCGGGCAGGAACTCCTCGCCTGCGTGTCCAGTGGGGACCTTCGGCTTCGCACCTGCACAAAGGTCGGGCCGAGGTGCTCGGCTCGACCCCTCCGACGATCAAGTTAGCAGATGTGGAGGGGGTTTCAGATGAAGAAGGGTTTTTGTGTGTCTGTCTCCCTCCCCCTTTCTCTAATGAACGAGAGGGTATTTATAGGAAAGCATACTGCTTTCTGAGTTGCCCGCTTGCAGGAGGCAGGCTGGTAGCGTATGACTTCGTGTTGGCGTGACGTGAAGAATTGAGCTTTGGCAGGATGTTAATGCGCCTCGGTCGGCGTTTCGATCTGCATTGACCAAGTACTGTTGCGTGAGGCATCATCTAACGTCAGTCGAGTCTTATCATAATTAATATTCTCTCTCCTGTAGATATATATTCTCTCTCCCGCCACCATTGAATTTGGGAGTTTTCTGGGTCAACGTCAACGAACAATGGATACCACAAAGTCGTAGTCCTCTTTGATACGCTTTCTAATATTTTTTCCTGACATTTGAAGAATATTATAAAACAATCTCTATCATGCCTGTCATTGTCCATTAGTCTTAGATCAGATCAAACGAGTCAAAATTTAAGTTGATTTATAAGAGTTTGATAGATATCCATTATTAGTTTATGTTTAATAAAATTTATAAATAATTATCTCATCAAATTTATAAATGCTCAATTCGAATTTCAAAGTCCAATGTGTCATCAGTCCATGAATACATTAATCCGTAAATTGATGTGCATTAGTTTTCATCGAGAAGGATTTGAACGAAACCTGGCCGGTGTTCGATCCACGGAGACTACCAAGTCGTCACCATCTTCATATCATATAAATCTTCTAATATATGATTCATCGAATGCATGGGAAACCAAAAATTAATTCGATCAGTGCTTTCCAAGGATCAGAACAGGTGACAACCCTTCCAATCTTTTGCCGGTACTCGACCTCGTACCTCATCACTTTGAGGGTGGCGCAATGGAGCTCCCACGAGTACTGCTCACTTCCCAGTACGTCCGCATCCTTCTCCTCCTTTTGCTACACTCCCTTCTTTTCCTGTGTCACTCTGCTACCGTAGACCAACCTTCGGGAAGCGAAACCGATCGGGCCGCACTGCTCGCCGTCAGGGCAGCCATCACCGAAGACCCTCGCGGCATCATGAACTCGTGGAACGATACTGTCCGCTTCTGCCAATGGCCGGGCGTCGCATGCGACGATCCCGACCACCGTGAGAGGGTCACC